GGGGTGGGCTTTCTCTCTCTGCTAATGGGATGTGAGGCACATTTTAATGCTCTTCATATGATAATACAGTAGTCACCACAAAACAATGCATTGCTCCACTCACATTAATACACTTCACTCTTACTTGTTCTGGCACTGGGTGGCTTGCCACCTGGCTGAGTCTTCTCATGCCTGTCTGGCTTTTGTCTGCCTCCCCGCCCACCTGCCTTCCTGTTGCCTTTAGAAGTCAGTCTGCCTGTCTGTCTTAGAAGTCTGTCTGTCTCTCTGGTTGCCTGTCTGCCTCCTTCTACACCAGTCTGCTGGTTCATATTATATCCTTCCTGCCTGCCTACCTATCTAACTGCTTATCTGCCTAGCAAGCTTCTGCAACTGTGTTATAATAACAGGTACACAACTTTCCATCTTCTTTCAGAATGCTCTCTGACAGTGGACCTGTGACCCACACTAGAATTAGGAAATCTGTTGCAGCAGTAATTAAAGTTGTCTTGATTCAGAATTGACCCAAAAACATGTAACACAACATCAACTTAGTTCTTTCCCTTAAAGCTACAGTATGTAACTTATGGTAGCATGAACCTTCAATCCAACTCACTCTGCCTGTCAGGAATCGGCACGTGCTGCTGCCGAAAAAGTTTTGGTGAACTCAATTAAATGGCCAGACGAGGATACGTGACTAACCGTCTCTTTAATAAGAGCACAACGCAGAACAGGAAAACAAGACAAGACACGGCGTAACACAAAATGCACTTCAGGTCAGTACAACAGTCCAAGATCAGAGCCAGCAAACACATACATCAAGGGAATCCAAAACGCGCTGTCCAAAGGTAAGTCCGTTAAGCCGATACACATAGAAGCAGTCCTGGTTTAAAGGGGCAGGCAATATACGGTGGTCCAAAACAGAAATCCAGGGTCTGATACTGAGACGTCAGGCAGGAAGAAAGGCTGGAAAGTCAGAGCTAGAACAATCTGGCAGCGTCCTGGTGGGAGGACGCTGCCTAAATAGAGGTGAAGAACAGGTGCAAAGAATAAGGAGCAGGTGAAACTAATGTGAGTGGTTATTAAAGTAAAAAGACTGAAACTGAGGTGAAGCAAAAACAGGAAGTAAGGTCAAAATAAAAGCCTGACAGGAAGCAGCAGAACCGAATCATGACACTGCTCCACCCAGTGCTCCCTCTCCCTGCTCCACTCAGCTCTACTACGACCTGCTACGCTCCACCACGCTCTTCAGATACTGATGGTATACATTTACAATAAATGAGAATGCAACAAAACTTATTGATCAAAGAGGAATAAGTCAAAATCTCTCATGAGTTAGAGAGGTCAGTCCTGCTCAAAATCTTTTAAAAGCTAAAGTCTCTGCACTGCTGCCAGTGCTGTTCAATGAGTCTGGGTCACAGGAGGCTTCAACAGCACCTCTCCACATTATGACACGTTTTGGAGCAGATTTCTACAACACAAAAATTTGAAAAAAGTTACACACTGTAGCTTTATTTCTTCAAAATCTTAAAAAAATACAAATTTAAAAGCGATTTCTTGAAGCTTTCTCAGCTTGTGATACTGGTCCTCAAACCACTGCAACTTCAAATGTGCTCTCTTAGGTGCTCAGGGCAATGCTTCTTACATCCACAGTAGCTTTCATTCAGTCTAATCAGGCTGAGTAATGAGTCTGAGTTTTACTTTAGGAGGGGAAGCACTGTTTCCTAAAACATCACATAGTGTTTTAGAAATACACACAACCTTAGACAAATAATCTAAGATAGTAACTAGTAATCTCTGATCAATTTATTTGGATCCTGATCCCAGGTAAAGTCCTTTATCTGTATCCTTTATCAATACTTACATTTAAAAAACTTCACTGAACTATGTTTCTGACACAGATGTAAACTACTAAATCTGACACACCTTATTTTTCACAAGTTACATGATCCAGAAGCTGAAAGTATGATGATTCATCCATCCATCCATTATCTATACCGCTTATTGGTGAATAGGGTCACATGGGCCTGGAGCCAATCCCAGCTGACACTGGGTGAGAGGCAGGGTCCACCCTGGACAGGTCACCAGTCTGTCACAGGGCTTACACTTACAGACACCACAACCACACACTCACATTCACTCCTAGGGCCAATTTAGAGTCGCCAGTCAATCTAAGATGCATGTTTTTGGCCTGTGAGAGGAAGCTGGAGCACCCGGAGAGAACCCACGCAGGCACAGGGAGGACATGCAGACCCCACACAGAAAGGCCCCGGATCGGCCAGGGCTCAAACTTGGAACCTTCTTGCTGTGAGGCAACAGCACTAACCACCACACTGCTGTGCTGGCTATGGTGAGTCAATGCATTAAAATATGACACAATATACCATGTGTGAGTAACTGGCAGAATGTGACTCCTGAAATTTAAAGTGAAGCAACCCACCAGAGAGAAAATGGATCTCTTGCTGTACTGTACACTGGGGCAATAGACAGTTCTCTAACTCCACAAAAGCTCTGGCTGAGTACAGTCACTAATTTGTAGACAATTTGTAGATTAGTGTTAACAATACACTGTGCCAATTTAACAGGTACCCCAGCTAAAATGAGATGCTGCCACCTGAATGTTTTGTATAGTGTTCTTTGCTAATGACAGTCACTCAAGGCCCACATATTTTCATTTGTAAGATACAGTGGAGTTCTGGCTGTGCAGCCACTGTGGCTGTGGTAAAGAGCTCACTTCATTGATTCTTCTTCAGATAATCTCTTCTTAATTAACCTTCTCTCCAGGGGGAGGTCAGTGGTGAGGGTCGGCTAAAAAGAGCAACTCTGAAGGTGATAAGGATTCAATGCCTTGCTCAAGAACACCTCAGGAGGGGGCATGTTCACACCATGGACAGTTCAAATCTGCAGAACATTCACTACTTCAACCTACTATTCTGCAAGTTCATTTCATCTCATGTGGTTGGGAAAAGCAAACACAATCACAGACACAAGCTGATGGAACTAAGACCTATCGCTGTGTCCAGCTGCTGTGCACTAGACACTGATACCCTCTCAAATAAAAAGAAACACAACCTAACTGTATATGCGCTGCATGATAAAACTGTGTTACATTTTCAAATGATCCTCAAATTATACCCGTTATATTGTACAGACTTATCAGTCCTTGGAAAATGGTGAGTGCTCCTATAGTACTCATCATCTGAAACTGCAGTCAGCATCTGCCCATGACTGTGTAGCTCAGTCAGTAAATCTGGAGGCGTTCTCCACAATCCTATGTCAGATCTCAGCCATAACATCATATGTTATGTATATGGAACTCCCTGAGGTAGAAAACCTATGTAGGAGCTCAGTGTGAGGCTGACACTATGTGGATGTGCTCCATGGTTCTGAACCATCTAGATGCAGTAGGCACCAGGCATCAGACCACTAAAACAATGCCATAGGTCATTGTGTTTTGAACCCACATCCTGTCTCTCCAATGTCCTGAAAACTTGTCAAATCTGATCCCTGAGGCCAGTTTCTATTGCCTGCTCCTGGTCCTGATTTTCACGTATCTTGTTTTAATCAATCCATAAACTGTAGCTATGTGGAGCCATGTGGAGCTGTCCATGGTCCTGACAACATGGGGGAGCTCACTAAAGAACCCAAACCGTGCCGGAGCTCTCCATGGTCCTGAGACTTCCTAGGACTGTAGTGCAACCAAACTCTTTCCGTGGTACTGAACCCCTGAGGTGCTCTCCATGGCCCTGAATCCCTGTCAAACTGTCAAGAGCTATCCACAAACAACAAACACTTTGTTCAGGCATCTGTGGAGATATTTTCGGACAGCCCTTTGAAATAGAAGCTTTCCCCAGGTGAAGCTGTCGATAGTTGCTAAATACACCCTGATTCCTTGGAGGAAATCGTCTAACCATCTTAAAAATAACATAATTTAGCCTGATTTAATCATGTGTGTTGCTGGTTTCACCTGGATGTTCTGGCTGCATAATGAAATGAGTTATGATAAGTCCTAGCAGTCCTTTCTGTCATAGTGTCTCTTTCTTTCTAGCAGTAGAAATGAAGATCTGCATATGCTGGGTACAGTTATGCAACATTATGTCTAACCTGTACCCTAAAACAACACCTTAATGCCACTTCTCAGTATTATTCAGCCCTATTTCTCCCTCTGCGCCTCTTCTTTACTCCCCTCACTCCCACCCTCCTCTCTGTTATCCTCACTGCGATCTCCCCTCCTCTGCACCCCTTGTTTAAAGCTCTCTGGTCCTTCCCTTTCCTCCTCCACCTTAACTCCATCACTTGTCCTCTACTGCTCCTTCTTCTCACTTCTTTCCTTACACCTTGGCCCTTGACTCTCTCCCTCTTTCCTTTCCTTCATCCCTGTATCTTTTTCCTCCCCATTCTCCTAGCCTCCCCTCTTGAATTCTCATGTCCTAGCCTCCTGCATAATACATGTGGCTGTAACGCTTGTCAACTGGAGCGGCATGATGAGGCAGCTTTAGAAACACAGAGCGACAGCGCTAGAAGGCGAGAGCCCCCCCTCACCCCACCACCAAAAAAGGGGCTCTTTTACTGCACTCCCACACGTACACGCGCAGAAGTCTAACAGACACGCACGCACACATTCCCATGCTGGTACGGCGGGGCTGCCAACCTGGCCAATGCTTCGCAGCACGCAAATGAGACGTTACCATACCATTTAGCCCTTCACCGCCTGAACAACCAGAGTACTGGCAAAAGCGCAAGTGCCGGTGTGCTAGGTTTTGGAGATACCCAACTAAACTGTCTGTAGCCTAAGAGGACGACAGAGTGCACGAACAGTGCCAACACAGGCGCAAAAAGAGAGCACTCACACACAGAGCGAGGTTATGGCAGAGCCGAATCAGATTACAGCGGTGATCCATTTTCTGTGCGCTAAGAACGAGCCTGGCACCCCCGTGGCACAGAAAGCATCAACTGTAGAGCAGAGCTCGGTCCCAGCGCCATCTCACACCCTGCATTATTAACAGCAGATCAATCTGCCTTACCTTCATCGATCCCCAGCTCCTCTCCTCTTGTCTCGTCTGTTTTCTCCAGAATCCCTTCTTCTTCCTCTACCGATCCGTGCACTAATGGGTAAGTTAAATCAGAAAAAGCCCCAAAATGCTTTAAAAAGGTTATCAGGCTTATCCCAATTCCTGGTCTCCTCCACTGCACGACTCCTTTTCCACACGAGGAGGGAGAGGCTATCTTGGTAGTTTTCTGCTGCTGAAGAAACGTGAGCGTGTGTGTGGGACCGGACAGCAGCAGAAGCAGCAGCGGAATTACCAGAAGAGACGTGCGCGCAGTAGAAATAAAAAGGGGTTGAACGGGGAAAATCCAGGTGCCGGTGGTCTAACCGTGCAAACCCACGAGAGGCACTCACGCAGAGATAGATCGTCAAACGCTGAGTGTGGATGAAGGGGTCAAATCCTATCCTCCTCCCATCCGCCTGCCAAAGCCCAATTACTCCAGTAAGGTATTTAAAGTAATAGGAAGGTAAGAGCTCGAGAAGTCCGTGTAAAGGTGCTGCTTCAGTGAGACATCAAGCAGGAGAAAGTGATGTCGGGAGGCTAAACAGCTTTAAATCCAAAAACGTTCACCTCAAGTCCCGGTGGAAATCCGTGCCCAGCTCCGGTTCGTGGTCCACGACACAGATACTATAGGAAACTACACCTACCAACATCAAGAATGTCCTTGAGTGGAAATAACCTTATCACTTAACCAAGCATTCGTTTGTATCTAAGAAGGGCCGGTGTTCCCCAACACATGCAGCCTGTTCAACAAATAAAACAATCTCAATCCTAGAACATTCAGCTCAGGTGTCTCCATGTGAAAGCTGCCGGTCTTTATCTTTCCCCAGAGCAAAGGAACACGATGAAATCCCGGTAGCCTTAATACAGGTCCGGGCGGTGTCCGGCTCCGTCCTTCGTGATCAATAATAAATCGCACAACCGCCAGCAGACTCTGAAAATCCACCGAGGAACCCTGGAATCATTTTAGAGAAGAAATACAGTTTTAGTCTTGTAGTAATTATTGAAACTCTACTTTCAACAAGCTAACATTTCGGGTGGCGTTAGTAGAGGCTTGCAGACCCGCAGCACGCTGTGCGCAAAGAAAGTCGACTATTTTTAGAGGGGAGAAATCACCCTGCCGTTGGAGACCGCTGATCCGGAACGTCACAATGACGGTCACATTTCCTTCTCTTTCGGTTAATTCGTCCACTACATCCCTCCGGTTCTTCGTTGGCGGCTGCTGCTCGAGAAATGTTGTAAAAGACGGTTCAAGTTTGAATTTCAGCCTCAGATTCCAGAACAGGATTCCCGCCGTTCGGAGGCGGCTGTAGGCGCACGAACCTGAGCGGGTGGGGATGTTCCAACAACATGACACACCCATACAGCTTATCTATCTATTCCAATCCCTTTCTCTGTCTCACATAGATGGATAGATGGATGGGTAGATAGATGGATGGGTAGATAGATAGATAGATAGATAGATAGATAGATAGATAGATACTGATCTAACCCTGTTCCTCTTTAAGGGAAAGATCAAGACGTGTGTTGTACTGAAAACGGAAGTATGTGCTCATTGCATGTGAAAGATGTTAGCACACATGATGTTCTTTGATGTGAAAAGAAAATACTGAGAGTCCAGAGTAAAAAAACTGCTACTGTGTCTGAATGTGAAGATGATGGAGTCATCTCAAGGATGGAGTTCAGCCAAGCAGAACATGTGAAGAAAAAGCAACAAAAGCAGCAAAGGTGTCACATTTCTGACAAGTCAGCATCCTGGTGTCAGTGCAAACGTGTCAGTAATTATTTATATACAGTAGTACCAAATCAATTGTGTTCATTTTACCAACTTACTAAGGCCCTGCATACCTAAAGCCAATACTGTGGGATCCTTTAACAATGACAAATAGATATAAAACCTATGTAATGTTTAATCAATGACTGAAAAAGTAGCAGTGAGAAGGTTTATGACTCCATTTCTCCAGTGTGCTTGGTACTGGAAATCACAAACAAATCCTCAGCCGACGTTAGCTTCAAATGAATGTGTCAAGAAAATACATAAGTGCAGCCTTCACTTGTTTCCAAATGGAGGAAGGTTATGTATGAACCTATGAAGATGAACATACTAGAATATGAATGTTGTGCTTTGCTGTGTTCATTTCATGCCAATCATCATGTTCACCGACTGACTATTAACTTTGATTAGCATAAAGTGAACAGAAACACATCTACTGCGTTTTAGTGTTGGCAGAGAAAAACATTTTAAAAACAGATTTAATAATGCAGTGCATACCTGTTGAGGTTTGTTGTTGATTTAGATTTGTAAAGCTTTGTCACCATCATTTGTACTTGACAAAAACAGCACAGAACACTTCTGGAGATAAGAAAAGCAGATACTTTAGGAATCATGCCATGATTTTAGTCACAGCCCAGGAGGAAGGTGTTCAAG